GGGTGGGGGGACACACAGGGACAAAGTGTGACTCTGCAGCAGAATGAGTCACTGTCATCCCCTTTAACAGAGCAGATATTATTATGTGCTACAAGTTTCCCAACCCAACCAAAGTCCTCGTATGCAGAACAACGTGATGTTTCCACTAAATCCCCCACTGTCTCGTTAGTAAAAGTCAAAACAAAAACTTAATACACTTTACTAAGAATTACTGAAAAAAGAAAGATGCTGAATCAGAMATATAGGAACGTTTGATCAGGCTGGTGTTCTTCCAGAGTTTACTTAAGTATCCGGTTCCTTTTTAATTCCATGCAGCTGATAATGAGGATGTTTTCACTCTGTGGGAATCTGTATGTTCAGACTCAAAAGTGCTGTTTATAATGTTAACAACTGAAACCTTTTGGAACATGTTTCATTTGGGTTTGTCCTTTGGRTTGCAAATGCTTACAACCGTCCTTCCAAATACTAAAGTGTATAAGCAGCATGTGGACGAATAAGGGTTAGCAGTGTTTGAAATATAGATAGAAGCGGAGCTGATCCCTCCTCACTGTAAACACATGTGTTTGTGCTGCTGTCCAGATGGGGACAGATTCTGGTTTGCAGCAGAACACTGTGTGTCTTTGTTCTCTGAGATTAGTCTGTTTTACCAGAGTGTTCTGGACTGGAAGGCATGATGTGAAAGAACTTTTTTTTTGTTTGAAAAGAATAATTATTTGCTAAAYGACCAAMATCATTTYTGTGTTCTGCAAATTTAATGCTTAAGCACATTTAATAGTGCAGGGGSGTCAAACTCAGGTATACAAGTGGGCCAAAACTTGGTCCAAGCCTATCCAATCTGTCTTTCTCTGTTACATAACAAATCATTCTTATAGAAATACAAACTACCTTTTCCAAATTATGTGTTATGTAACATTTAGAACATTTACAACAATTCTCTGTTGCTTTTCACAAAACAAACTCAATGAAAAATTCTAACTTAGGTCAGCTGTCATGAAAAGAATGCACTAAATATAGGGACAAAAAGAATAGCCATCAAACTATTTCACATATAACGTATTACGGAACATTTGGAGCAGGATACTGGGACCAGATCTAGCCTGCAGGCCTTGATTTTGACACATGTGGATCTGAGACGTGCTAAAAATCCAAGCAAAGCAAAGACTTCGGTCTTTCTCTGTCCAGGTCCAAAGCTCTACATCACGCTCCACCTTTGAGTGAAGTTGTATCAAATGTTACAGCTTTCACATAACATGTAGTCTTTACTGCCCCTCCTTCTCATCTCACCTCCAAACTTCACTGTTTRTATTTATTTTATTTTAAAGAAGGAATCTACCCGTCTTAATCATACTAATGTAAAATTCAACTGGCCAGAGATATAAAASCAAAACCAAAACAGTCTAACCAAACATAATATCTTAATGACAGAAATAGTGAGAAGTTTGTTTAATATAAGATTTTTACAAACTTTCCAGTTTAAAAAAATCACTAAACTCAATCAGATTATCTTGAACAGACCTCCAGGCTGAACGAAGGTTAAACTGAGACAGATTAATTGTTTCTAACACACACACAGAAAGAATGTGGTCCTGAAAGATGCATTTTTAGTTAGAGCACTTTTCTGAGTAGGTTGCAGAAATATGTATACATATATACATATACATAAATACAATTTTTTTTTGTTTCTTTTACAGAAAGATGAGCTGGATGACATCCCCATCGAGCTGAGCAAGGTGCAGAGTGTCAAGGTGATTTTTTTCCCCCTCATACCCTTTCTTTCACTCTGAAGCAGGGGCAGTTCTAGTGGTGGGGCCACAGGGGCATTGGCCCCATCTGAAATCTGATTGGCCCCCTGAAGTGCCCCTGTCC